TCAGTCTCAACAGTTAAAATTATATGGTTTGATCACTCCATTTTGGATTCAACGGTAAGAAATAGCTAGTATAATTTATTCAGTGTAGCGCGTGACTTGCATTGTTTCAATTCAATAAAAAGTGTTATGCATTGAATGGCATGAAATAATGCTGTGAATTTTTTTCAAATTTTTTGTCACTGTATTATTTTCTTTAGTGCACTGCCATATTTAAATTCTGGACATTACAGTGGTTGTTGCAGGTGTTGGATTATCTTTCATCAATGGATTACATGAAGAATTGATTTATGCGCGATTTCAAGGAATAGTGTTGCATGTGAATCGTCAAGGTTCAACATATCAAATAACTGGCAGCGTTGAAGTGATTCAGGTCTGATTTGTTTTGAAAATACCGATTGTTAATAATAATGTAATAGTTAGTTTTTCAGATAGATTATTCCTTTTCTCAATTTATGGAGTTTGATATTTTATCAGATTTAAGGCTGATAATCAATTACTGACGACTGATCGGTGGCAAGTTTTATTTTGCCAGCAAGATGCAACAAGTACCGAATCAGGTCTCACCGAATCGTATATTTCGGTTCCTGCTTTGAAGTTAGAAATGAATTGGACGCCGCTGGAACATTACGATGCATTTGACGTGCGAAATTTTTAAACTTTTTTGTTATTTATGTATTTGAATAACTAGGTCTCTGTCATATATATACGCGTCAAATTTCCTATGATTTAGAAAAATTATGTTGTCCGCAAATGTACTTTATTAAGTATTTTTCATTTCTAGTGTTTTCGGTTGAAAATGTGCAATTTGTCGATACAACTCGATGAAATACTGTTATGGAAAATTGTCCAGTTTGTACAAAGTACGTTAACTTAATATAAATTTCAATTTCTTTTTTTGTAAAGATGTTCAAAACCAGATTTTAATCTCTTTCCAAGATGTTCTATTTTTCAGAAGCGGAAGCTGCTGAAAGTATGAAGCCTACTGCATTATTGCAGCCACCAAACACAGAGCTTGATAAACTAGATCGGGTGCAAGCACGTAAATGTTATTTTGGAACCTTTGACTTGGAAATTGGTGCTGTGGCACTTTCAGGTTTCGTTCTGTTAAATATTGTGGAGATTTGTAATTTCAAGCTTATTGATGACTGTTTTTGCTGTTTAATTTTTGCTATTTAGTTGTAACAGTTGCGACTAGTGGTCTACCACCTGATTTGCGGAAACTGAAACGGCAGTTCAATGTGAAACTAGTCAGTTTCGAAAACGCAATGATTTCTCTTCCACCATTTCGGCAGTTTCGATATTTTGAAACCTTTTCATTTCTGATTGAAACACTCAGCAAATTTTATGTCGGTTAGTTGAAATGCTTAAACAATGAATTTTTGTTCGAATAGGATTTTTTTTTTCAGAGTAGGAACGATTTATTATTGTTTTATGACCGTTATGTACTTTTTGACTATTTCCATATATTATTGCTAGTGTTGATAATAATAGTTATATTATTTAGCGCGTATTTATAGCTTTGTTTTTTATTACATCGTTAAGTTTACAAAAAAATCATTTTACTTTTTTAGAAGAGTTAAAGAATCAAACTTTCAATATCATAGTAACGATGGATGCTTTTGGTAATCCTTTGGGTCTCGCTTCTGATTTGAAGGAAAGTTTCGAGGGACTGTTGTTCGAGGGCAATTTGGGCGGTTTTGTTAGCGGCTTAGGATATTGTTTCACTAATAGCATATCGAAGGTATTGTATACGTTATTGTTTCGTGCTAAAAAAAGAGATATTCATCGAGTTGACAATACACATAGTATAAACCACAACGGAAAAGACTCTTGAAGTCGATAGCTAAAAATGTTTAGATTTCCAAGAGCATTAAAATTAAATACCTTAACGGAGCATCTCTATTGGTTATCCTGCAATAAAATTTTCAGTAGAATATCTCAAGCTGCAGAAATAAAATGAGGTTCGTAGATATTAGCTAACAACAATGACAAAAATACTTAAAAAATGTTCAATAACAATCGCAAAAATAGATGTTTTCGAATGGTTATTTAACAAAAGTAGTGTTTTTCAGGTAGCATCATCAATGGCAACTGGTGTCGGTGCGCTAACCTTCGATGAACGACATGAAATGATGAGGCGCCGAATGTTGCGATGCCAACCGCAAGCAGATAGTAATAGTGCACTTGCTCATCTCTATTGCGGTGTAAAAGTTAGTTGCTTTTTTAGCTTGTAATATTTTGAAAACTTTGTAAGGTTGCAGCAGATATGTTTTGTTCTTCATTGTTTAAATTTATCATATTTTCAGCTTCTGTAAAATCTTAGCTTGTTAAATTTTCATATTCCGTGAAGAAAAAAATTTGTAAAGAAGTCATTTCAACTGAAATCTTCATTTTTCAGGGTTTAGGTGTTGGTGTTTTGGGCGGCTTAACTGCTATTTTAACTAATACATATAACGAAAGTCGTAAGGATGGACTTACCGTAAGTTGATTTCTGAAATGAAATTCTGTAGATTGAAAGGATTTTGGCTGCTAAAATATCTTCAGTGTCTTCTCGCGTGATCTTGATCACAAATTAATATTGGAATCTTGTTTCATGGAGGATGAAATTTTATTGAATGACTTATGGTTCAGTATGATTGCAGGGTGCTATGCGTGGAATTACGACTGGTGCTGTAGATACGGTAACGAAGCCTGTACAAGGAATTTTCGATTTAGTCGAAGGAACAGCTTCAGCTGTTAAAGAAATAGTTGGCGGTCCATCAAGTAATTGCTGACTCATTTCAGTATATTCTAGTTAAAGCTGCTGATGTTTTACTAATAAAGCGTGTCGATGTCAATCTATAACCTATACCGTTAGCTCCTGATGCTTTACGAAAACTTTTGATTTCTGTGATGTCACGATTTTACGTAATTTTCAGCGAGGAAGTCACACTTTCCACTACATCGCGTTCGATTACCAAGAGTAACAATGAATTTACAATCACTGTTGCCTTGCTATTCTGAAGGGCTTGCTTATGCACAGCTAGAGCTTTTAAGGATCAATGGATTTGCTACAAATGAAATGTAAGCTTCAGTTTAGGAATGATATCTGAGAAATTTCAAATTCTGCAAATTTTGAAATTTAAAAGTTCACGTAAGAGGTACTACATTCTACTTTATTTTCCGTTAATATTGTTTGATTTTGGAATTTTTGATTGCGTGATTTGCAGGTTATTGGATATAGAAATGTTATTAGATCAAGTAACAATCACAAATCGAATAAGACAGTATGCATTGGTCTGTTCTGAGCAGTGTTATATTGTTCGACAAATTGATTTAGAACCCAGCAGTGTGGTACAAAGGATACCTTACAAACAGCTTAAATTAATTCAGGCAGTTTCTGTCAGTGAAAAAAATAGCTTCTTTGGAACTATAGGTATTGTCTTACTCCATTTCCGTTTTTGGATGATTTAGTTTCAAGTTTTGTGGTTTACACTTCCTTTCTTCACTGCTACACTTAATTAAGTCGCTTGAAACTATGTTTATGTTACTTTTACAGGCACAAATACATTGTTGTGCAGAATTCTACCAATATAGCAGCTTTGTTTTATTGGTTTTTTTATTTCAGTTGAAATTTTATTTTAACCTTGCTGAGACAGCATTTTGATATCACATTCGAAAGTGAAGATTGAATATTGGATCGCTTTTTCAATGAGTTGTTTTCATTTCGATAAATAGATGCTCATAGTCCTTCTTAAAACATTATATAAGGTTTCAGTGCTGGATGATTTAATAAATCTTTTTCTTCAGAAGTAGTGCTAGAAGTTTCAACTGGCCGAAAACAACGTTTACCGCACATCTGGTGTAATCGTTTTGAAGTAGCGAAAAGACTTTGTGAAAAAGTAGGTCGAGCTAAACAATTATATGATCATGGGAAAAGAACACTAAATACTGTGGATGATTTCGATATTCTTTGAAAATATATCTTTCGAATATTTTCACAGGTTTTGCTTTTTTATTTTTAAAGTTAATTGTTGGATATTTTTTGAATTTTTGGCATTATATCTGTGTTTTTATTCTACTATAACTTTCTTGCTGCTGATCTGATAGGTTGTTAAATGAAATGTTTATTTCTCTAGCATGTTGTTTTTTAATGAAGTATTTATATGAGAAATTAAGAAGTGTTGAGTAACTTATCACATCTTTATGTTAAGCAGCAGCCGTCTCAAGTTAGAAAGCTCCGCAGTTCAGGTATACTACTCAGTTATTGAAGCTCGAAGCTAACTGAAATTCAAAGAGCGAGCATTGTCTTTCAGACTGAAATATTAAAAACTCTTAATTTTTCGTTCCTATATTATAATGCTTAATATCACATATGAAAAATATCATGCTCTTTATCTGTACAATATTACTAAATTGTTCTATTTTTTAAATAATATTTAATGAATTGTTAAAATAATATTTGATGAACGTTATGATCTCAGACATACTTGATGTCATTACTTATGTTTTGTCGCTTGTGTCTTATTCGATGACATTATAATCTCAAGCATGTGGTTGTCTTCTTGGGCTCTTCTATATTGTTTTTGTTAGACGTTCCGTGTAAGTTCGATTTCGAACAATGAATCAATCTTTTCTAATCCGAAAATGGATGAGAAGAATGAGGAGGAATAGGAAAAACTTGTAATGAATGTTTAATTTTGGATTTTTTTCTTTCAGAAATATTCGAGAGGTTTTTTAAGAGAAGGAGGAAGAGGATGAGTTTTACTTCTGCGTAGTTTTAAAGATTTCAGCATTAGATGCCTCATTCAATAATCATTTACAAAATTTCCTTGAAAATTTTTAATATTCTTGCCTTATTATATCGGTGAATGTAAAACTATCTTGAAATTCTTTTAGATTTTTATGGTTTATACGTAAATTTACGTGTATCTGCCTTGCTCAAAATGTTTGTCAACCGTCTACGATTTTTTATTTCCTATAAGTGTTGTTCTTGGGTTTTTTTTCCTAAAGAATTGAAATTTCTTAATATTCTGTAAGTTCTATGTAAGAGAAAACATCATACTTGTAAAGCTTCAGATGTTTCTATGTTTGAAAATATGTTTCGGATTTGAGGTTCTTCGAAATAGCTGTTAAAAAAATATTTTATTTCGATGGTGGCATCAAAACATGGTTCTATGATGAAAGTGTTGATTTACGTGCCTGGTGTACAATGTGCTTTGATATATTTACTACATTCATTATTTGTATTTATTTTAAGGGAAAAGTCATTTATATATTCTGTTTATGGTTGTTGTAAACCGAAATAAAAGAGTTTAAAATTAAATTTTATCTTACTGCTGTCTATGCTAGCAAATGTATCACCAGTTCAAGAGACATTCAATTCGTCTTATTTTGACAGTTATCGATGAGTCACACCGTTCTATTGGTGCACACTGCAACGATTGGAGTAGTGTTCATCTTGAAATTGAGAATAATTCATTTGGGACGTCCAAGAGCAGTTTCAAATTCTCTTAGAAGTGAGTATACGGTGGAGGAAAGATAATTACTTTGTAGGTGATAAGATGTATTTCCTGGAGTGTTATTTTTTCAGGAAATAAGCTGATATATATGTTGTGAATTTATTGCACGATAAAAAAAAAATCTCATTGTTTCATCTCAATGCAGCTGTGGAATGCGTTCTTCAAGAATAGGTCGAAAGAAGGTTATGGTAGAACCACTTTTATAGTCTCATTGTTCTTCGCCGCATTTTCTACTGGTTGGTATCTTTCAGAATTGAAATGTTCTTAAGCAACTATTTTCTCAATTTTATGACAGTTTCAAAGACTAAAAATTCTACCCTGGACATATAATTTGGTGGCTGTTATTTCAATTTGAAGGTTTTCTATTCTCATTTTATTTTACGAAAAGTTTATTTTGCAGTATTTATGGTTTGGACAGAACAAAATCAGAAAAAGCGTCGTCAAGCTGGCGTTGAAGAATATATTCGTAAACTCCAGCAGTGAAAAGAATGCGAACTGGAATTGTTTTATTCAAAGTTCTATGTATGATCTCTGTAATTTCTCATCTTTTTCAGGATGGTGGCATATTTCTGTGGGCTTTTGATATGCATTTTATGTAATACATTAACGCAAATGATGTTTACAAGTATGAATTGTAAGGAATACAGTGCGAATTATAAAAGATACAAATCATAAATAATGCATAAACGGCTTATTTGTTCTAACTTGGTCAGAACATTTTTTTTTTATCTCTATTTTAGCTGTTAGCTCCTGAACAGGTCAGATATAAATGGTCTGATATAATGTCACATGTCAATACTTTTTTGTTTTACGTCTTTTTCATGAAACATCGAAATAAATTTGAATACAACTTTGATTGCCATTCTGAAATAATCTCGTTTGATCCTGTATAATTTTACATATTTTCAGAAGCTCTGAAAAATAAGCAAGAGTTTTATTAATGAATTTTATTAAAGTTTTTGTAAAAAAAAAAAATAGCCATAATGGGAAGTTTTAATGGATGTAATTATTTTTCTGGGAAGGGGACGGCTTGTTACACTATTAAATCTTTAAAAATAATGGTATTACAGATGCGGGTCTGCTTAATCGATAATTACTAGCTCAATAAAGTTGAAATTCAAATAATGATTTACTGCGGAAATAGCTTGCGGAAAATAGCTGCTTCAGTTAAAATAAACACAGCACTAATGTCGAATGGTACTACTGCGGTGTCTCGTGGAGTTCCAACTATTCTATCACAGTTTGCTCCTAAAAATAGGTAATTGTTTATTGTTATGAGATTTTTCTAGTACAGATAATGTATGACATGATTGTTTTAACTTCGTTACTTATATTTTAATATGATATCAGTTAGTGATCCTTAAATTTAACCGATATCTTTCTATTTTAGTTTCATCTAATTCAGTATGATAATTAATTTGAAGATTTAAATGCGATTCTAGAGTTTTCATTGATATAATGTTGGGTTAGCAAAAACTTTCGTGAAATATTATATGTGAATACTTCTTTTTAATAAATATTTTTACCGAGTCATGTTTTCACCATTTAAATCCTACTGCTTTAATTAAAAGTTTGAACTAACGCTTATTTATCATTTGTATCTTATCTGTGGTATTGAAAGTTTTTAGAAAGCTACTACAAATTGCAGAATTTTGGAAATGAAAGTGGGCTTTAGTGTGACATTTTTATTTTATCCCTTTTATTTTTACGTTATCACTTTTCGGCACTTGCAGAATTTATAATAAAAGGTGGAAAAAAGATGTTGTGTATCTTTACCAATTTAGTCGAGCTCCGTCATCACCAAATATTTCACCGTTCTGTTTCAAAGTTGAAACCTGGTTACGAGCAAACAAACTGAAATATGAGGTAGGGTACATCCACATTTGAATTACTTTTTTTGAAATTAAAAGATATTCATTTTCATTTTTATAGCAGGAAAGAGATCCTATCGAATCAAGTTGTGGTTTTTCATTTTATACTTATTAAATTCGGAATTCTAAATTATACCTAATTTGATATAAAGCACATAACTGGAGTTTTTTGAAATTATTTATAAAGTCGTAAAGGAAGTCATATCAAAAAGACACCTGGCATTGATATATCTATATATACTTATTAAATACTAATCTTTCAGCTGTTAAGAACTTTTTGTATGTTTTTTTTTGAACTCTTCAGCTGTGCAATTACTGGGATTTTCAACCATGGGAAAGATATTTCCCATTCATAGAGTTAAATGGAGAAAGAATTTTCAATTCACAGCTGATCGTGGAGCAACTGCAGAAACGTTTCAACTTAAATGTAAGGAAAATTTTGATCAATCAAATGTTTAGATTGCTATGATCGAAAGTTGTGGTTTATATTTTTTAAATGTGGCCAATTATTTCTAATGATGCCATATTTAACAAAGAATAATGAGATACTTTAGTTTTTGTTTGATTTTGATTTCCAGGATCAGTTGAAGGAAGTTGATGTTGGTGTTGCGCGGGCTATTGATCAGATGATTGAACGCAATACACATTAGTAAGTCCTAATTTTTATTTTTATTTTGTTTTGGAAGAGCTGTATGGTGATATATATTATATGAATGTAATTTTTAGCCTGTTGCTTTATTTCATATTCGTAGAAAATTTGCCTAAATTTCTGCAAGGACTGGAACTTTCGTTAATCAAACGATGGTTTATTCATAGTACAATATCTTCTTTCCATAGCAAGGTTACATTTACAGTTATTTTTTTAACTAAAGATTTATTTCATGCTTTATTAATTTTGTAAATTTCCTCTTTGTATAAGAGCTATGCTTCATTCATTATTCGAATAACTTATTAAACGTCGATATATTTAAACTGTTGGATCTCACTGTTTTCATTTTTATTTGGGTAGTGTTTTTTCGATATTGTAATTATGCTCATGAAAACAAGCGAAATCAATTTAGGTACAGCGAATATTCGTAGATATGGGCCTTGTTAAATGTTCGCGAGATGATCTTATTGATATGCTGCAGAAAGATATTGCTGCGATTGATGTCATCTTAGGCGATAAAAAATTTTTATTTGGCGTGAAACCTACTGCGGTATGTATGTTACTCTTTTGTCGAATTTCTTACATCTGAAAAATATGATTAATTAAAATAGGCCTTCTATGGCTGTTTAAAGCTTTGCTGTATAAGTAAATAAAATTTAATTTTACTTGAACAGTGTGATCAAAAATTAATGATTTCTTTTTGATTACTTAACAGATATATCAGTTTCAGAAATTCTATGCCCTTTACGGTCCGTTGAAAAAAAATAAGTTAATATTATATAAATATAATGATATAGAACTTTAGTGTCTCAGGATAGTATTTACAGAATGTAAACACTGTTTGATTCTTTCTCAAATTTATTCTGAGGATCAAACGATATAGGAATATAACAAGTTAAATATTAAATTTTTTAAAAATTTCTATCTTTATAGTCTGATTTCACGGTTTTTGGACATTTGGCTACATCGTATTATTTACCATTTCGTCAGCCAATAACAGATATATTAGATGATAAATATCCACGAGTCAAAAGATTGATTGAGCGAATGCGGCAACATTATTATCCAGAATGGGAATTTAATACGTAAGATAGCGACCACATTTGTTAGATATGTGTTGTATTGCTGATGAGTTTCAGTAGAATCTTGATTCATCTTGGTGCCGTACAGACTGAACTTTCCTAGTTAGCCCATGTTGTAATTCTTGGTCTTGAGATTTTTATTTAACCTTCAATGTTATGCCCATCATTTGTTAAGATTTATCATTTTTATTTTGCAGAATTGCTAAAATGATATTTCTCAGTGTTCAAGAAAAAATTTAATAGCACTTATTCCTAGATTTTTCTTAAAATTAGATGATATTTATTATATTATATTATTTGTTTATTAGATGATGTTTAAATGTTATAAAATTAGATGATTTTATTATGTTCTATTATGTATATTATGTTTTATGACTATTTAGACCTATTACATTTGGACATTGTGACACAACCTTTGGAAATAATAAAAATGAAATAATTTACAGATGCTCGAAAACGCCAGTTTAAGATCATTGCAGTTTTAATATAGAACAACATTATTCAGCCACTATATCATTAAATAATAAAAAGAGAAGATTGAACAAGAATATTGATTTCATACTGAGTTACTTCAAGAGAGTTGGAGAAATTTTCTGTTTACGGTTGTATTATGAGAGATTTTTTGTCCACTAATTTCGAAATTCCCAAATTACCAAGAATTTCATTAAACTGTACCTGCAATACAGAGTAAAAAACTTCGCAATAAAGTTGGATAGAATTTCAGCGTATTGTGGTTGAGATGATTTGCTTTCTGTCAAGCAGATCATGGATTTGTATACGTATCAAATCTTATGTTCTTGATGATCATTTACCACCACGAAAATATTCATCCAGGAGTAATAAGGTAGAGGCATTCTTCGTAATTTGTCCTTTAATCCACTACCATTCTAAACTGATCTCACAATTCCAATCGTTCAATGATGCATTGAACTTAGTGATGAAATATTTTTTCGACAATAATTCTTATTTTTGCTTAATATTTTTCTAAAGTAATTCGGTCTATACCGAAGTTAATTTTGTGAGGACAGAAGCACTAGGAAGAGGAAGCTATTAAATTGTTTTTCTTACTGAAATTGAAAAGAAATGGAAAATTCATCAGTGAATTTCAAACGTTGCATATGTGTTTGTGTGTATGTGTGTATGTGTGTATGTGTGTATGTGTGTACGTGCAATACTACTTATGCCTCAGAAAGTACAAATCGTGAAGAAAGAAATTGAAATGCATTTGGATGTATAATGGATATAACGAATGCATAATGGAAAAGGAGAGTTTAAACAGGGAAGGGAGAGGGATGTTGGAGATTTCGAGCATTATTCGCATACTGACCATCTGTCCTTTTTAGAAGTCATTATCGAAAACATTTGAAATAAACACTCTTACCAGTTATCAATCATTTGAAGGTCGTCTATTTGATACTTTTTGCAGCCTGAAATATTTGTTTACGAAGTAATGAAAAATATGAGGAATGAAAGTGGCGAAACAGTCTAGTTTTCTCGTATTTCTCAGACCTTTTTACAATTAATTATGGGATTTGAAAATAGCATAAAGTTTGTTAATTTTATCAATTTATTAGCATTTGTGTTCTCTGTTATTTCGGTCTTATGGAAAAATATAGGCTCGCCTTTGTAGAGCTAATAATAAGCACTCACATCAAACCATCAAGAAATCTATGAATTGAATATGAGTGATAATCGTAAGAATGTAAATGGCCTATCAGTAGCTCAGCATTTAATATATTTTGTTCTCAGTTTTCATTCTTCATAATTTCTCGCTGCTGCCAATTATTAATCAATTTTTATTGAAGCAAAACTAGAGGGAATGTTGATAATTTTGCTGACCGTTGTATCCATAGCACATGCTTGTCGTACTTTTCAGCTGTTCATTCAATTTTTATAGCCTTAAAACTATGCATAGGCAAACACACACACACACACACACACACACACACACACACACACACACACACACACACACACACACACACACACATAGCGCCATTTAGAATTGTGCAATTGGGAAATTGCTGTCGTTGTCGTTCCATAACGCATATTCATTTACTTGCAATTTTAAAATTCCTTTTCAATTGCAGCAACAGCAACAGCAAGAGAAATAGAAAATGACATTCATTTTCTCTCTGACTTCATTTGATCAGATTTTTCTAATCTTGGTTTGTAGAAAATGCCTTAAAAAGTAATTGCTTTTCAATCCTGTTCATACCTATTCTATTCTTAATTGTCAAACTTTTGAAATCTCTTTACAATATCTCATTTCTTTCCTTTAATCGTCTAACAACTTATCAAGCTTAACAAAATGATGAAAATTGGAATTTCACTTCATTTCATTTTCATTTTCTTCATTTAGCTTTCTTTTTTAAATTCCTATAACGATACATTCTTTCTTACTATTATAGCTATTCGTTTTTAATTTTTCACAAATCCATAATTTTGAAAAGAAAAAAAGAGCTTTTGTCTTTGTTCGCAACACGTCTATAATAATCTAGTTTGTCTAACCTAACCTAATCTAATCTAAACGAAACTAATGTGGAACACAGATGTCATCTCTCTTCCATTTCTCTTTTTTATTTTTTCTTTTCTTAGCGGGAGGTAACATGCAATTTCTTTTATCATCACTCTCTTTCCTCTTTTTTGATTGTCACATCATTCCAATCATTAAAAAGGAAAGGAAGAAGGAGAGTGATAACGAGGCAAAGGCAAAGAAAGAGAGAGAGAGAGAGAGAGGGAGAAAATTCGTTAATTTTATCATTTATCATTTTATATTTTTCATTTTGGACAGTAATTTAACTTTAATTTTTCCGAATTGCTCTCATTAAAAAAAGTGTGATTGCAATACTGATAACGAATTGGAAATTGTAATTGAAATCGAATTGACTTTTGAACATTCTTTCCAAAAGATGAAAATCCAAATAGTTTCTTTTATTTTTTTCCTTTCTCAAAAACTTAAGTTTATAATTTCACAAATTGTTATTAAGATATAATGATTCGATAGAAACGTTGGAAACATTTACTTATAATAAAAATTTGCTTTAATTGATCCAATTTTAGAATGTTCTGAAAAGTTTTTATAATATAAAATAGCAAAAGCATTATGGAGAAGTGCAATAAAAGAATGCTTTTAATTTTCTCAGCTTTATGCTTTGTGCTCTGCAAACTTTGTCACTTTATATTTGACATCACTTGCTAGCAGTTCTCATTCAGGATTGTCAATAGGCTTATCGTTTAAAATGTAAATCATTTGGAAAATTTTTAGAACTCTGTGTGGATAAGATTTTTTGGATAATTGAAGATTTGAGATGATAACTGCTATAATAAAATTTTTTAAAGCTTAATTAAAATCAGATTTCTCATAAGGCTATATATATATAATAAATTGATTTTTTTTCAACGAAATTATTTTTGAAGAAAAAAATTTTAGCAGATCAGAAAGGTGAGAACAAAATTAGTGTATTAAATTTACCTTCTGCTCGAGAAATTTTATATTTTCTATTCAAAGTCATCATTTGAAGTAAATTTAAAATAAAAACCAAACAAAAATTAGAAGTAAAAGCTCAAATTTATAACTTATGCAAAAAGACATCATTTGCATAAAGCGTTAATGTCTTGCAAAAAAGTCACAGTTATTGTTTACCTTTATAAGAAGGAAAAATTTTGTATATAGGACTTTTTTTTCACCGCATGTTTCAAATGTCCGCTACAAAACGACTGCTTACACCTGCTAGCTATTTTTAATTGCAACCATTTTTTTTTAATTACTTCTGCTTGGGTATAAATTGTTTGCACCTGCAGTGGAGTAGACATGCCTCTCCCCCTATTTCTCTTTTACTTAAATCCATATCATTGAATATTTCATAAATTGTTTTATTCTACTTAGAACAAAACTTTTAAATAGAAAATGGAAAAATATATACTTTTACGGCTACACTCTATGCTTTTTATTGAAGAAATAATTTTTGCTCCAAATAGAATGGATTCATAAAATGTCTATTGGTTAATATCTTTTGCAAGTTATTAATTACCAGCAAATAAAAGCGGGAAGTAAATTTTAAAATCGTTCAGTTGATAGAATTGCTAACATGTTTATCAGTGATAAAATAATAAAACGATATCATCTACAAATGGAATCTCTTTATAAGAGTTTCGGTATTATCTTGAATTTATTGGATAGCAGTGACAGAATAACCATTGTTATGATAAAATATTCACTGAATGTTGGAGATTATCAATAAACGAATAAATTTATACTAATAAATAAATGGACATTCAATTCTTTCCAATGAGTACACTTGAAAAGTGTTGTCTTACATCACACTAAAAGGCTTTTCATTTCAATCTGATTCAACTGACTTACACAGCCACTGGCGAGAATTAAAATAATCAATTAGCAGTACAATTTTTTGTTCTATCATATCGCTCAATTTATATCATTTTAGCGGTGCTTTAGTAAATTTGAAATATATCACAAATAATTTCATGCAATATAAACTTTTTAATGGTTTTCAATTATAAAGGTTTTCAATTCTTTACTTTCATCTTCTATATGAAAGTGTAAATATATCAATTGCAAAAAATGTATTCAAATATGTGCATCATAAAATCGTATTCTCGTATTTGCTTCCATTCATTGATGAATATTTTTCCGAAATGCATTTTTGCCAGATAATCCATCCGAATGAGAGGATTCTGATGTAAAAGTTTCTTTTCTCGAGAATTTCTCACCTACTTGCAAAACAGCTATTTCGCAGTCAATTTGCATACTTCCTGCTTTAAAATGGCAGTCGTAGAAGTGCAATTGCATTTCCTGAATCATTTTGATTTATTTTAGTTATTATTCATTGTCGTATCAATCAGTATTTTTCGTACTATCAATTTTTTTTTCATAATAAAATTGAAATTACCCAATAATGCATAAATTAAAGTTAAAAATACTTAAACTGGATCGAATTTCATTTCTGATCCTATTAATAATGATATCATTTGTCAAGTCATTGAGAATTACAAATATGAAAGGAAAGGTGAAAGTAATTAAATGAGAAAATTTAATTAATGACATAATTATATCACAATAAAGCATTTAAATATATTTTTAGTCACTAATTTAAATATTTTAACTTTAGCTACAAAATAATCAAGAAAAATGGAATATTTTGCTCAAAACTACGCAAAAGTAAATTATAATTAAGTTTTTATTAAGGCGGCATCTTTTTTTGTCAACATTTATGTTTTTCCAATCTTTTGAAAATGAGAAATGACGTCGAAATACTTCGGAATTCAAAAATCTTCTTGAATATTTCAGCATGATTTTGATCAAAAATTTAGAAGCTCATTTTCTCATGAAACATTGCAACTTGTTTTTAATAAAATAAATCCTTCTTTTACTGCTTCTTGTAACATTACATTGCTTCCTTTTTGGAAGTGATGGAATTTTGTTTTCTTTCATTTGAATTAAATTTATTGAAGAAGTTCCTTTTGAAAAGTTTTTCATGATTTTATGGAAGTTTTAGTCTTTTGTACATTTGGTATGTCGGATGATGTGAGAAAAGTGCGTTTTCATTTGCATTTTTGCCTCAATTGAGCGTTGCCTTTTAAAAGTGTCAAAGGAATTTCAATTCAGTTAGTTCATTTTATTTCAAGTGATGGAATGAAAAAATATTTCGTTGTTTTCTTATTTAAATCATTTTTGTATAATTTCTCCAGAATGTTTGCCATGATTTAGCCATGTTTGAATATTTATAAAAACATTTATGGAAGCTATGCCATATTGCAACGGGGTCAGTCAATGACCTGAACTGTCAAATGAAAGCGCAGATGAATTGAAATGATGCTAAAACCGGTTTTATTAATTTGCCACTATTCAACGCATGCATTGGAGTAACCGGATAATTCTAGTTAACTGCAATTGTGATTTGCATTAAACGTAAATAAATTTGAAGAAAAAAAAAAACTTTTGTGACTTTTCACATTTTTTTGTTTATTTCTTTTTTTAGTCTTAAAAAAAACCATATTTCAAACTTTCTATAAATGAATAAAATGAAAAGAGAGAACCTATCAATTGCTAATATTAAATGACATTTTAAATTTTGCATCTGAAAATTTAGTATAACAGTAAACATTGATGAAAAAATCACTGAACAAATTTTTTATTAATTATTCATAAAATTTGTCATTTTTCATAAATTTTGAGATTTGACGAATATTCAAAATATTATTAGCAAATTAAAAAGTGAAAATGAATGTGATAACTTTTGAAAATAAATGAATAATTCACATTTTTGCTGTTTCGAACAGACACTTTTAAATTTAACTGCTGCATTTTTTTTAAACTGAAGTAGCAACCATTCAATTTTTTTCTTTGCTAGTTGAATGAGTATTTGTCAATTGCTACTTTACTATCACTTTTTAACATGTTTTCATTTTGCTTATTTTTTCATTTCTGTCAATTAAATCAATTAATTACAAGCTCGTTTTATAAATATAAATATTCGCATACGGTCTATCTATCATAACCTCCACTGATGTGTTAATTAGGTTTTTTTTTAATATTATAATACTTTATGGCCTACATTCCAGAGTACCGTAAACATTTCTTGCAAAAATTTAAAGCAAATTGCAGTTACAATCACTGAAATAGGAATTTGAAAATTTAGCTATTTCATTTTGGCCAAATATTTAATCACTTAAGCTTATATTCGATTTTCAACGTTTTTAGCCTCTCATTTTTATTTGCATTGTCAATCAGCGTGTAATCAATGTTACTTCTGTTTGTCCTTTCATATTTTCAATTCATCTTCCTCACCAATTGAGTTTATTTGAATTTTAAGTGGTCTATCCTCTTCATCACTCCCGGAAATTATTGCAGACCATTAGTCGCTTCACGAACTTTTTGTTTTCATTATAATTAAAGTAATTTGATGTTATCTATTAATAATACAATTAGATAGAACCATGCCCTCCAATGATCATTACAATTGCAATTATCATAGATCAGAAAGGTTATTCTATCATTTCAAAGGTGTCCATCTTGTGGCTTTTGCTTCTGTTTTTTGTTGGAATAATTTATGAAACTTTCATGATAATTTATTGGTGATGTTAAGAAATAAATTATGTTATTATCAAGAATAAAAGTGATTGGATGAAAAGTGCACCATGAAAATTGAAAATGGAAAGCAGAATATTTGTATGATCAAGTTAACCTCATTGCTTGTTCCTTTTTTAATTTAATTTTTTTGTTTTAATTTAATTTAATCTAATTCTTAAGTTTAGCATTAATAATACTATAGCCGGAAAACACTGCATAATAAATGATTGGATAACTATTTGCTTACAACATCAAACGCCACAGCAAGTTTTCCCTAATTGTCAATAATTCAAATTAAAATTTCGAAATTTCGAATTTGTTGATTTTAAAAACGTTTGCATATTGTGCAAAATTAAGGGTTTGTCTATTGTTCAAAATAAATTCAAAATTAAGCTTCGTTAGATTTGTCATTGTTGTTTGAATTTATAACCGCGTTTGCTATACACAATGGAATTCTATGAAGCTGTTATCGATTTTTAACAGCCAGATTAATGAAAATTTCAATTCATACAGTTACGTTACACTTTTTTTTAGTTACTCTTACAAATTCATTTAATCTTTGACTAACCATACGTTTTCGAGAACGGAATTCTTTTTCGTTAACAACTAAGCTTTGCGATTCATACTTGATGAAGCTAATTAACTTCATCATATGATGAAGTGATTCTTTAATTATAAGTTATTATTGTAAGAACTAATTTAAATTTATTTGTCTATAACCAAATAGAAATTTTACAAATCCCAAAGTTACTTATGCCTATCAAAAGTTAGAGACAGGAATAGTAATGAGTATGCAGTGCACTCTACTTGAATAATCAAACATTGCAACTGTTGAGTGCTGTTTTATGTTATATTTCAAAAGTTAACAAGTGCTGTTTTATGTTATATGACAAGTGTCCTATTACTTTTTGTTTATATTAATATTTATGACTTGTCAATTCACCATATACTTAAATATTTAGCAGAGTAATATTCGAAGTCTTGCAGGCCTGCACTATTCAAAATTTATATTTAATTTATTCATGAATTAAAATATCTGGAGTTATTTTGATAGAGTGATGAATTGATTGCACATGTCGCATCCTTTAATAATGCATTTTATTCAATTTTTACAATTCTCAATATTTCTTTAAACATAATTGTTAAAAGATAAAAATTATTCATTCATTGTTACCATATTGATAAATTAATTTGACAAGAGGCATATATGTTTGAGAAAATCTTCCTTTGTTAGAAGGAAGCACTTTTCATTTTGTTATTCAATTTTTCATTTTATGCAGACGAGATTATTCCATAAGCAAAGCATTTTCCACAGCCCTATTTTTAAATTTTAAAAATCTTTTTTTCTTGCAATCAATTTATTTTATAAATTCCTTTTGCAATGTATAAAAGCGCTGATGGTGTAAAATGATGGTATAGAAGGATAATAATGAATGAAAGATTAACTTTATTATTTTTAAATAGCGCTAAATTGTAAGGTCACTCTGTAGGGCAAGTGTAGCAGTGATATAATGATAATTGTACAAATATGAACACAGTTTAATGGGATCCATCAGGAGGTGAAGAAAATGGTATTAATGCTTTTCTCTCCTTTCTGATGACAAAGTCGCTCAGTCATCTTACATATCGCCATTTCATTAAATTGTAGCATTTCGTGATCGTGCAAGAGGTTGTTGACTTCATTAACGAATTTCATAATTGCGATTATAATTATTCCCCATCACTTCGTGTTGTTTACTTTTATTCAAATGTATTGCTATAGAACTCTAACCGTACTAATTGTACTAATTCGTGAATTTTGAAGTTTTTTTCTTAAATTTTTTTATGACTATTTTAGAATCTTATCGAATAAGAACACATCCCATAATAATAATAATAATAATATAACTGTTTGGTGAATAGTAAGGAGAATATATACATATATTGATGGCAGCGTCAATAACAATTGGTCATCCGTCATTCTCGGCATTCAAACCATATCTCCGACTTGCTAATCAGACTGTCGATAATACAACGAGGTCATTATTTCGCTAAATTGTCATTATTATCCATTTCACTTCTATCATCATTATCATCATAATTATACCATAATTATTACCAATTACCTTTCCTGTTATACTATTAATCAAGAGAATATATCATTTGTTAAATAATTATCCGAATGGGAATATAGAGATTTTAAATTCAACCAGCTTACAGTGATTATTGTTAGTATAATATTACCATTAACGGTTGTATAACTCGTTATAGTTTGGTGAAATTTCAAACTGATCACATATCGCATTTTTTAATTAAAAAAAGCAAGCTATTAAGAAATTATTTAGAAAAATCTTGCAATGATCAATGATTGGCAATAAGATAACATTTATTGAATTAATTTTACATCCGATCGAATACCTGCCATTTGATGCAACATATGTCTGTCGCATCCTTTTAACTTGCCAAATAAAAGTGACATCTGTCATATCATTGGGACCATCTATTTATGTTTTAAATTGCATGCCAAGAAAAGAAAGGTCTTTGGGGAATATGGAAATTGAATGATTGAAATAACAAATGATTGAGGAAAAGATGGATAGAAAATGGCATACATATGATTTTTGGTCATAGCTTTTAAACATTGCATTATTTCGCTATGCCTCTATAATTGAAAAAAATTTTTTTTAATGATTTGTTTGAAAAGTTCAGCAATTAATGATTGTATTGATTTTTTTGTTCAAATTCATAGCTACTAAAAGTTAATAATGAAATAAAAAATTTATTCCTTGCACAAAAGAATATTTACAAAACTTCCTAAAAAAAAATTTTTCATTCTACTGATTTGAAACAATTGCTTCAAAGATTCTTATTTTTTCTATTTTATCTTCAATAAATTTTTTTTTGTAGAAATATTCATGAAAATTTATTCATTTTATTACTTCAAATTATAGTAATTTTTATCATCTTTTTTGTAATGCAATATGAAATTATAGTAATGATGCTACTACGTACGTAACAACAGGTCTCGACAAATCAATTAGATCTGCAAACGTAAATGCAGTCACAAGGCGACGACAGCGGACAACTTTTACAACTGCACAAGCAGATACATTGGAAAAGGTTAATTGTACGAATCTTTATTGTTATGCTAGAACAAAAAAAAATCAAACATGTTCCGTCAGATGTTACTTAAAACATGAAAAGTTTTAAAATTGAAAAAATTAGAGAGAGATAATCTGTAGGAAACTGAGAAATGTTCGCAAAATATATTTCAAACATATAAAACTTTTACACGATATTTACTTTTTTTTTTATTTTTTTCTCTTTCTCTGCTTCCTTTTTTCTTCAAAGTAGTGTTATGAAAAAATTAAACTACAGCTGAAATTCATTCTTTAGAATGATCATTTCCAGTTAAATGTTAATAAATAAGAAAACTATAATTTCTGATCCATTGAAGTCTGAAGTTATCACTACGAATGATATTATCATAATAACTGTTATTTATTGTAATGAGTATCATGAGTAACTCTATAATAATGATCTAAAATAATTTTAAGGAGCGCTTGAAATTAATTTGAAATTGAAAGAGTCTTAATTGCCGGAATTTGTGCAATTTATTCAATTCGTTTTATTTTGGGAAAAGCATCCTTTTTCATAAAAAAAAACAAATTGAATTGTGAAAATACAGTTTTTATGTTCGTAAAATTGATGAAAATCCTAGAACTTGTCATTTGTCTTGCTTATTTCGATATTTTTCCAGGAATACCTCACAGACCAATATATGCCACGAAGTAGACGACTGCTAATTGCTCGATCATTAGGTTTGAATGAGAGTCAGGTAAAAACATGGTTTCAGAATCGTCGAGCCAAAGATAAACGTAACGACAAAAATGCTGTTCTACTCAGGTTTATTGCTTTCTCTTCTTTATCGGCTTTTCTTTTGTTTCTTTTATCCTTGTTAATTCGTAATTAATTTTCATCCAATGCTTTTTTGTGAAATAATTTTAATGAAACCAAAATAGAGTATACGCAAATTTATAATTCAAAATTGAATATTGAATAAACAAGTTAGAATAATTTCATTAAATATAAGATGCTACAATTATTACTTTCATACTGTTTCCACAGGCATACCAATTCAAATACGTCTTCACCGCCGGGTTCATCACCTGAGGTCAATGAGAACAACGCTTCACTGATTCAGCAGTTATGTTCCAAAACATTCAACCATATGCAGTTGACACTTCGATGAGTTATCCGATATTTTCTATCGTTGATGTCATCCTGTTCCTCGTACCGTACCATACACTATTGTACTTGATCTCATTGTTTTCTACTGCATATACCGCTTCTTTTCTTCACCATTGCTGATGCTTAACCATTTTTTGGTCTTGCTCTCATTGGTTTAGTTATAAAGTTTGCCATACGAAGTGGAAATGTGAACCAGTTAAAGTACTGCACTTTAATACGTATATATATGTACGTAAAACATTTTCGACCTCTGCAGGCTTTGTTCATTATTGTAAATTTATATTTTCCTTTTTGAATGTATAAAATTTTCTGCTTGAACTGATATGTATATGTGTGCGTGAATCTACTTTTCCAGTTATTTTATTTGTATCTATACAATTTCACTTTTATCTTCAAGAAGCTCTTCTTTTTTATTGTTCCATATTTATAAATTCACAAAATATGAGTAAAAAATACTTATATTTTGATATAGTAGTATTGTTTCTTCTTGTTTCAATAGGACAACATAGATTTATGCTGTACTAATCAAACAACTGATATGAAAATTTGTGAGAAAAAAGGAGTCCGTCAGAAATTCTAGGCAGTTCTTGAAGACAGATACTGGGAAAATAAAGAGAATCAGAAATGAATAAGATATGTATAAAGCACTGTTTCTGTGGAACTAAAAATTTACTTGAATTTCTTCTATCCAAAATTAGCAGCTGATAAAAATAGGTGAATTCGCTAAAATATGTTGCACAAAAGCAGAAGCTGAAATTTAACGGACTGAAATGTCTCATGTAAACCTATGTAAAAACTTCGGCACGAAATTTTGACTAGAAGACAGAGAAATTCGATACAAGATCAATCACGACAAGGCATTTCTGGATTAACTTGCAAGTCACAGCAGTGCTGTAATAATAACTGTCTTCAGCAAGACAGAGAAAGCTTACAGATATTAAAAAGAAGTAATTCCGGAAGAGGATTTCGCTTCAGTAATTAATATTCGCCAAGGGGAGAAGCTACGTGTATAAGTTGAAAATATTCGACAAGGAAATTCATGAATTTCTGAGAATTAAAAAACGAAGAATTAAAATATAAACATATAATTAATTTAATATATTCTTAAAAGTTTTGAATACATACTGTAAAATAATCTACAGATTGGAATTTTGGAAAAAATTGACCTCAATCATATAAATCATTTTCAGAAGCGTGCGCAGCATCAAACAACTGAACAGCATCTTGTCCAGTAAAGGCGGATGATTCTACGACTCGTTTTGTCAACCGAATTTTCTTAATTGGGACCAATCCCACTTTTTTACCATCTAATGAGCTGAAAGTAAGAATGCTGGATTATTTAAGTATTCAAAAACAGAAAAAAAATCATATTAATAAATAATGCTGAATGACTCTTTGCAGATAAAATTATAAAGTTTATAACAGCATGCCGAAATTTTATATAAGATTTGGTCGTTAAATTACCGTTCTTTATTATCGATATAACTGAATGATTTAATGAAAGAATGATCAATTGAAAATGAGGACTGAACTTCCTCAAACAAATTACCATGCCAAAATATAGCCAAGCCTTCGCGGTTGATATTCTCTAGGAGCAATACGCAAAATATCGCCACGTTTAAATGATATTTTATCATTTTCCTCAGTATCATGATCTTCTGTCGCCTAAAAAAATCATCGTTTGTTAAATGCCAACATATAGTGCTATAACAATTATAAAGTATCCTATCGATCCCAAAGCACCTACCAGTGCTTCGTAATAACCAGCTTTTCCTGTTGTCCATTTCATTGACTCATCCGTCATTCCTCCAATTGACTGATACATCAAATAAGGCACACCTACTGCGATTAACCAAAATATCAATGAAGGTAACCAACGAAATGAATTGGAAGAAATCAATTGTGCTGAAGTTTCCTGTGCAGCGATTCTGCCTGAATTCACTTTCAATGCAAGTTTTTATGATAAACTGCAGAAAATTTATAAGAAAATCAGGAAGGATCGGAATACTTAATAGTGATGATGTACATCAATTTTAGACCTAAATGACAAAATTACATACAAGTTATTTTGAAAAAATTTATCCTTTTCTTTTCATTCGATCATTGAAAATCATAGGCAAAAAAATATGCATATTTTTTGCAATACAGAAATGCGATCATGCCTGAATTTTTTCGAATTCCTGTCCATGCTTCTTCCATTCCACTATCAGCATTAATTCTCAATCTCAAACATTTCAACAAAAGTCGCCATATATATCGCAGCCATTTCAACAGTGCTGTTGAAGCCAATAAACAATGTATCTAAGGTTTATATATTTATTTACTCCTTACAGCAATGCCATTAAGTCTATCAAAACATGTAATATGAAAATCTTTTAATGAAAAGTCGAATGTAATGACATTAGGCACCTGTGTTTTCAGCTTTGCAAACTCGTCCAACGCACCAAATACAGCTTGAAAAGAACTAAAAACTGCATGATGAGTGGTATTGAGCATATCAGCAATGGAATTTATAGCAGTCAAAACTGCTTCGATACTACTGAAGGTGCCTAGAATGAATCCTGATATTTTTAACACAATTTCATTTGATTAGCTTTATAGCAATATCAATTAATTAAGAGTATTTAATAATGATAAAAGAAACCTCCCGTCGATTCATTAAAAAGCTGTGCAATTTTTCCCTCTGCAGCATAGCTTTTTACATTGGGGCACCTGAAAAATAAAGCAAACGTCGAAAAAAAAGAAAAATTAGGAAACACCCAACAATTAAGCAATATACAAAATTATGCATCACATACTGTCATCCCGTATCTTATCATTTCTCAAGAAACATTGTGATTAGAAATTAGATAAGCCTCTAAGAGAGATAAAAATAGAGTTTCGATAAAATAAAATGAAAACAGAAACTAACAAAGTACAGCGCGTATGTGTGGGAGTTAGACCTTGTACTTGTCGCATGGACAAAGTTGGATGATCAACTGTATGTGGACACGTGAAAGACGCCACTGGAGGAGCAACGGGCCACGAACATCGATAATTCATTCGCTTCACTTCCTGAATAGATGAGAAGAAGCCTGATTAGAATGTGGCGCAAAATCTTCAACTCAGCACAGCTGAACTCTCCGCGACAGCAAGTACCGCCTTGTAGAAGCAACTGATGAACAGATTTCACGTGGACGGCACACCTCACATCGCTATTACATTTATAATTTAGACATCTAAAACAGCGGAAGCTTTTCAAACACAGATGACAAAAGACGCTTCAAATGATATCTGACAAATTCTCAACTGTATTTATGTACACATGACTTGAATGGATGCTAAATAGATTATTCCTCCCTTTGAATAATAGGGAACTGTCATTCAATCCATATCTTGAAGTGAAGGTAACTTTGCATTTTGAATTATCCAATGCGACGGGTGCAATAAATGGATCAGAGTTAAGAGTGAGTACCGCAGGAATGCCTGGTGAAGATGTTGGGATAGTGTTGCCTATCATCGTTGCGATTTTCAGTTGTGAAATGAAGTAGAAACAGATGAGCGTAAGCATTATTTAAAGCAAAATAGACTCAAAGAGTTTCAAAAAAATAGTTCTTTCTGGAGCATTTGGATTAGAGTGAAAGAATGATTTCTTTGATGTCCGACCGATTTTATAAATTTATTATCATTCGTTTAAATAATATTTTAATTTTATATTTGTAATCTGACCAATGATATCGAAAACTATATAAAGTAAGTAATGCCAATTTTTCTAATGTTAAGGTCATCGATATATTATTTTATCATTTTACTGGACAGATCAAAGACGCACATTTCAAAGGGTATTTTTGTTAAATACTTTCATAGTTTAGCTGTCATAACAGTACAATCTTTGCAATAGCCAGCATGGAAGCGGTGAATGTGAATGTTACATTTCGAATGAAATCAACAAACAGCTTATTGTTCATGACAGTCAATCAACGATACAATGATCAAAGTAACTGAATAGGTTAATTAACTGAACCAATACCTGTATATACTGGTTTTCAGTAAGCATAGCTATACAAGAACTGGAAATGCTTTTATGGCAGGAGTTGTGATTATTTATTGACATCCATTATTAATGCGGGAGCAGTATGGATCAAATTACCTGCATTGCCAGCATTGCACACCTATATATATATATTCGCAAAATCTTCATAAAATAATTTTTCGTAAAATAATTTTATCATTTTCCTCCATTTCACTTTCTTTTTTCAGGAATAACGAAAGGAGGTAATGTCCAATGCAAGCAGATGTTATCCCATTGCTTCATTCCTCCTCATCCTTCATTTACCATTCGTATGCGTTCATATTCCACTTCATTCAGGTTCTTTTCATTCGATACAGCAAACTTAAATTACTACAAGTCTACTAGCAATGATAAGTAAAAAATCATTTTAGCAATCTGACAATGAAAAGCGTAACATTTTATGTTCTGTCATTCAGTAAACGAGACCTTCAGGGATGACGATAAACAAAAAATATGAGATTCATTAGAAGAAACATTAACTGTTTTATAAGAGACTTTGTTTCAAAATTTTGTGAATGTAATGTATTATGATACAAGAATAATCTGAGTATGTGTTATCTATGAAGGAAGAATGTTTATTGAGAAAGCTTACAGACCATTTCAGTTTATCTATTTGATAACTGAGCCTCTTTTGTTTAATGCAACAAGATTTGAAGAATATCCTGGACATATTGGTGGCCGATGTATAGCCAGCTTTGATTGCGACCCTAACGGTCCACAAGTTTGTGTAACACTTGCGGCAGTGAGAGACTGTTTCGCTGATTGTCCAAATGCAGCTGATGAAGGTCATGCCTAAATATCCATGGTTTTGGAAGAAAGGAATAATTGATTATGTCAAATTAATTATTGTAGGTAATTCTTTTTATAGAATGTCCAGTGAGCAAAGTGTTATGTGATTCAAAAATAAGACACGGATGTGGGAAGTGTGTCAAACTGGAGGAGCGTGATATGCTTTGCAGCGATCGTCGATGTTTGTTTTTTATTGCTAATTTCCATCGTTCTCATTTTCAACTTTTCATTTTCTTTAATTCATTATTCTTTAGCTTCCTTTGTAAACTTTTTCTTATAAAATTCCTTAGGGCGAAGTATATGCTCGGAGATTGAGCATTTCAAATGTTTGTCCACAGACAATTGTGTTTTGCCTCATTGGATTGGAGATGGTATTGATGATTGCGCTGATGGCTCAGATGAAGGTAATAAATGTTACAGTGATATTCAGAATAATTGAGCCATGCAAAAAAGATCCCACTTTAAAAGTTGGTTCTACCATATTGGTTCGTAGACTTGGAAAGAAGCTTATGATTGAGCCTGATTTAGTCCATTTTATATTCATGCAATTGGGGATCACATAGAACTTGCATTGAACTTTTTCGTACATTTCTTGATATCTTCCATCCAAATGGCAAATTATCGCGTTTCTATCATGAATGAAATAATTTCAAATTTTTAATACAGTAGTAAGATAATTATGTAAAAAAAACATAATATAAAGCAAATAATTTCTAACATTACGTTTTGTTTTAGACCTTTGTGCTCTTGAATTGGCAGATTGCAATCAGACCGAGATAAGTCCAACTCCGGCATCTCCGTTTGATGTGGGTGCTCCTATTGAAAGTAATAACTAACAATTTTGAATCTTCATTCTACTTCGAAATCATCCTCTTATACGTCACTGCATGTAATTTCGTAAACAGACATCTGTTCCTGTCATCAGTCTTATTTCTCTTTCTTTTTACTTTATACAGGTAATTTTTTTTATAATTTATTCAGGGCCAATAGAGGGATGTCTCGAAGGCGAATTTCGGTGTATTACTTCACATGAATGCATATCCATTGTCGATGTCTTAGATGGTATTGAACAGTGTAATGATGGAAGTGATGAAAGTATGATTTCTAATTTAAAAGAAAGCAATAAGAGTAAGAGTTTAAAGCAATAAAGTTTTAAATAAGTTCCTTTTTTCCTACAGTATATAAAAATGGAAACTTTACTCAATACAGAGGCAGATGAAATTTAACAGTATTTTTTGATTGTTCTGATCTCGAATTTGTTGAATAAAGAGCAAAATTAGAGTATTTAGAGCGCTAAAACATTTAATTTTCTTTCTTCAACTGTATTTCAATTTTTTTTATTACTTTCTTAATTCGTTCGAATATTATATTATTAATTCACTGACGTGTAGTCAAAAGATTATTCATTATGCAGAGTATTGTAAAGAGATGGCTGGAAGTAGCATGTGTCAGGAGCCAAAGCAGTGCAGTTTCAATCCAGCTACTGTGATGTTCACATGCAATTGTCCGCTGGATTATTCACGTACTTCTTTCGGTCTTTGTATCCCTTTTTTAGGTTAGTTTAAATTAAAAAAATGTTTCTTTGTGATGTTCTTTTGATATCAGAAAAATTTCCTGGAAAAGATTTTTTTTTAAAATCATTACATATTCGATTACGAATATCTCATCAAAGGAAGTGACAGTATTGGATATTGCTAAGGCATGGCAAAGTCCATTTTCTAAATATTTTGTTTTTCTTTTAACTATCGATAAAAGCTGGCGGTGGATGATAGCATTCAAAAATTAGCTAGTAATTATTGATGTGATCTAACAATCAAGAACCGATCTGAGATCATAGAGAAGAATGCATAGAATAACTTAGTCTTGATAATAGTCATAAAACATTATTGTCTATTTTGATCATTGCGAAATTTGTAGATGTAGAAAAATGAAACTTCACATTTTCAGCCCCAGCCTTCAGTAGCGACTGTGCCGATTTGCAAAGACGTTATCATTTTGTGGGATCAGGCCTGTTTAAGCTCCATGACTGGAGTTGCACTACGCCTGAAATGTGTCCCTTTATTGCCCATTGTGAGATGAATTTACTTGGTGGCGGATGGACGGTAAGTTTCTGAAGACGTGCTGATGATTTAATCAAGTAGAAAGCATGAGATATACTTGACTTATACATTTTTAATTTTCAAGGAGTTATATCTCAAATTATCTTTAATTAATCAACTCGAAAACTGATTACCATCCTTCTTCGTGATCATTGTGTTTCCGGTGATTGAATAATAGATTGGAACAAGACAGGAAGGATGATAACCAGCTTTCAAGTAAATTAGTTTAGGACAATGTTTAGCAACTAATTTCCAGATAATCATGCAACGCTTCAATACATCGCTTAGTTTTGATAAGGACATATTGGAATATGAAAATGGTTTCGATTTAGACGAGTCAAATTTCTGGATTGGTTGGTTTTCATCCACTTATATTTCGATAAGATTTTGTTGGGATTTAGTTTTTCAACTGTATGGAACTGTGTCTTTTTTTGAAGCACAGTACTATTTTTTAAAAGAGAATTCTTGACACATATGTTCACATCAGCAAAATTCAATGAAGTTTACTTTGGGTATTAGTATAATATCAATTCCACACGAGATTATTAGCGGTAAATTAAACAGTCTTGTTCCTTTAAACTACGAATTAGTCGAGGAACGGATGCTAGAACAACTAAATATTTAACATTTTTGAATATGAAATTTCATGAAATTCTCAATTTCAGGACTAAAACGCATGCACCACTTAACTAGCCGTCCTGAGTGTCCGAATGAATTACTTTTAAGATTACGTATAGCGATCAACGGGCAGATAATTTTGGTTCGGTATTCACATTTTATGGTTTATGAAAAACTTCTGGATTATCGACTAAATATTGGAAGTATCATTTATGGGAATGGCATGAACAGTGTGTTTTCTTTTCGATAAAATAAACTAGACCATACTTTGTATGTTGCTAAATCTTGCTTGGATTCACTATTTATGAAGGCATTTTGCAGATATTTGACAAACATATATGAAATTTTTCTCAGATTTTCTTATTTTAGCAGCAAACGAATTAGCTCAAAGTCAGTTGTGTCCATTTGTGACCAGTTCAGAGAGGGAATGTATCGGTGAAGGAGGGTGGTGGAGGAAAGGATGTCAACAAAATGGTGTTTTAACAGCTACAAATAAAGCTAATGGTACATATCCTGGACTTAACTGGAATGGAAAACGTCTTTCAGCGGTGCAAATGCTTATTCGACCGCGAGGATATATACCTCCTCCGAAGAAACCAGCATAATACTGCCACTTCAGTCTATTTTTTCAAATTCGAAATTAATGAATGACTATTACTTTTAATCAGATACAATGGCTTATCTCTTCGGACAAAACATTGCATATGTGCTTGTTGTATATTAGTGTAAGCTCGCATACAATAAAATGTTGGACATTGATGTTCATTGATGGATATCACTTCAACATAACAAAATGAAGAGCCTATGCATCGTAGGTCTTTCTAAAATGTCAAACATTATCGCTCAAATGTACACATTTTTGTGCTATTCTGTGAAATGGGATGTGCACAGATGCGCAAGGCATGGTAACACAACGCAGTCGGTTTGGGAGAAAACGGTGTGGTTCTGCTGTAGTTTTGGCGAGGAAGTAGGAGAGGTTGTGGAGGCAGTATTCTGATCTTGAACTGGAGAACAAAAGGGTGGGTGTAAAGTGAGTTATCATGAGCTGAAGGGTTTGAGTGTGATAGAAAGTTATGGCTGCATCTGTAAGGTTAACTTCATTTTTTTTTCTTTTCTGCTTTGGCGTGAACATGATTTGGATTCTCCGTGCTTATTCACCTGCTTCCTCTCTCAGTTCGCTTACAGTTGATTTGTTTTCATGAGTTCTATTTTGGTTTCCAAATGCGTGATTAATATAAGTTCCGAGTTATAACGTAATGGGAACAATGAGTCTGTTAAGAGCAACATGGTTTTTCTGTTTTGTTATATATGACAAGCAGGTTATCAATGCTTTGTATTCTTGTTGTAGTGAATTGTCTGACGATGTTTGGTGGGCCACCGGAAGGTGCTGAAGTAGCCTGGAATAACCAAAGACTACCCTATCAAATCATGGTAATATATTATTTTTATTCATATGCTCATTTTTCAACTCTTCTAGCGTCTCTTTTACGGATTTCTGCCAAAACAGTGCGCGCTGTTCTTTATTCTCAATATTTTTAGGATTGACTGGTAGATATACCTTGTATGCAATCTTTTGAAAATGTAATCTGTATTGTTTTTTTAAACCTACTTCATTTGTCTTTTGCATTCTACAGTATGTTTTCGCCTTCCTTATGATTTTTCAAGTTTTATTACTATTAGCAGATTATGTATAATCAGTGTTCTTTTTTTGGAATAAGTAGTTGAAAAAAGGATTCTGTATATTTCTTATTATCAGATCGAACTAAAACAATTTCAGGATGATGACAATAGCGAAATAAGTCCAGTTGTCGGACATGCAATGATTAAATACAAAAAATCATTGATTGTTTGGGGTGGTTACTATCACGCAGAGGACAACGATTTCCGTTATCGCTCTTCCACATTTCTGTACATATTACCTGCTGGTTTGCTGACAGGTCATAATGACGTGAAGTGGTGCGTCTATATATTTGCTGTTACATTTTCATGGTTAAGTTTCTTCTTTTCGCCTTTTCAGCTAAAAGTTTTGGATGATCCACGATTTCAGGATACTTTATCACGTTCCACATGGCGATGTACCCCCATCAACTAGTGGTGCATGTGCTGTATTATGTGGCTGTTATATTTTTATTTTTGGCGGCTACGTTCGACGCTGTAAGTATTGTTTTCTGTTATTTCGGATAATGGGCTCGTCAAGTGTATTGAATAAAGTTTGTGTAGTACTGCAACAAATAAACAAAAGCGAATCATTGCTTTAAAATCGTTTTCATCTATAAGTGCAATTAACATACTTTTTTCTCTAAAAATTTGGGTTTTAGAAGTTAACCGTCTATTTCATTATATAACCACTTATGATGTAAATAGGATCTAATATTACTTCTGAATGATGACATCATCTCGAAGTGAAAGGTGAATACCGCCGCAGTCAGAATGAATCAGCACTTACGATAGTTATTAAAATTTTAACTGGTACCTTGTCTTTGTAAATTATAAATTGCATAAAGAATTTCCATAGATAATTTTGAAGATTTTTGTTTTAAATTGCTTTTCAACCGAATCAAATTTTATTAAAACCTTGCTCATTTGTCGATTCCCTGATATAGTATCCCAAATTTGAGTGCTGAACACGATGAATCGAAAAAATCTAGGATATAATAAAAAATAATATAGAAATAAATTAAAAAATATGATTTGCTTTGCTCTCTACTTTTTTTAATAGTTGGTCTTTGTAAAATGAAACGGAGTTCAGTTAATTAAGTATTAGTTCGGTTCATTAATTTCAGTTAAAATAGTGGATACGTAAATTCTGTACTATTGGTTATTTAAATTTGTTGACTCATTCTTTCTGCTAAGGCGATATTTCTCTTTTCCATTTCATACTGAAATAATATGTAATTTAACGTCCGGTGACGTCTTAATTCATGCTCTAATTTTGCCATAAAGCGGTGGATTAAGTGTTGCGTGATATTATTTGCAGCATTTTTTCGACTTCATACTTAAAATAAATCAATCTTCTAAAAGACACCAAGTTACAGTATTTACTGCTTCATAGAAATATCAGATGACTGTAGAGGAAATTTTGCAGCAACTCCTAATAATATTCTGGAAGGCCATTCATCGGCGATGTATGTTTTGGATTTGATACAAGAACGGTGGTCATTGATTGTTACTGACGATAACAGTCTCATACCAACACCTCGAGATAAAATGGTTGGATGGTGTTATAAGAAAAAGTTAGTTTAGCAGTTTACTAAGTTTCTTAGAACTGTTTCAGAATTATGCAGTGGTATTGACTTTCAGCAAATCTAAGCGGAGTGGAATTTTGACTTTCTTTAAAATGAAAGCATTTTTACACGCCGAATTCAAAATAGTATTTTTAATCAATAAGATAAAGTGTAGTTTAGATTTTTTTTCTGAAAATCTGACTGAACTGGGCTTAAAAGCAAACGATTGTTAAGAGAGAAGATTTCCATATTCTTCGGATTTCATTGCAAGCTAATGCCTCTGTCGTAACAAGGCATAAAAAGTCATAATCACCATAATCAAAACGGTGCCGGAGGCTCAAAAAACAGTAAAAGTTTGTTTTTTTAGGTGTTACTACTTTGGTGGGTTCGGGCCGCGTCCTTTTGATATGCCAAACCCAACGCTGTATTTGAGAGATATGGGAGAGTTTGTTGGTGATGAAGCCAGTCCCTTCTACTGGAATAACCAGTTACTAATTTTTGATCCTGATCCAAGAAAGCAAATAAACTGGACTCTTGCAAAGTAAGTCGATCCTTTTATAGGCAAGAGATATTTATAAACTATAGGAAATTCAACCCTTGTCATTTTTATTATGTATGGTTTCTTGTTGATCATTAAAAACATTCGAAAAAAGCTCTTCGTTGGAACTAATTCATTCTTTTTCGAGTCCTTCATTTTCAGCCATTTTTAGAGTCGGAGGAACAGTGCCTTCAGCCCGTGCAGCATCCGCAAGCACGTTTCTCGAAAGATTTGGTAGTATCCTACTTTTTGGTGGACGGAACAAAAATCAGCGATTAAATGATTTATATCTGCTTGATCTGTCATCTCTCATCTGGACACAAATGTAGAACTTCATTGATTTCTGAACAGTTTCATGTGAAACTTTACATTGTTTTCTAATACTCATATTCTGAGATTTGAGAGTAAAAGTTTCAGTAATGTGATGGGAATGAACGAACCAGAAGGGAGAACATGGTGTTCACTCAATACACTATTTCCAAACCAGGCTTTGGTTTATGGTGGGTATTCGAATGAAGCTCGGTCACTCTCTGATTTCTGGAGGATAGAAGTAAACGAAGATAGTGATGGGAGTTATGTAGGAACGTGGACCGAGGTGGAGAGTGAGCATGAACCGACGTCCCGCAGATTATGGCACACGGGAGCTGTTGTTGAAGGACAATTGTTCGGTGAGATTTTTTGCTTTTCATAATTTTCAGTACAAAAAACGACAATAGTTAACTGTAATTTCAGTGCGGGTTGGCATATCATCGGAAATTCCTAACAACCTAAACAGTTATCGGACATTAAGATTAGACGATATAAAAATCATTTTTAGATGTCTACACACTGAACTTTTTTTCAATGCTTAGTTAATTCCGCATTTGGATTGGGAGATTTAATGTTTCCATTTAGTACTGTAATGTCAGGAAGTTGGAAATGGGAAAATGGTTTTGGTAATCAGAATGTTGTAAGAAGTAACTGGCATATATTATTTTCCATTTTAGTGTGTGGTGGAACAGATGCATTGGAAGAACACATCAAAATTAGAGGTGTTCTGAAAAAGCGGATGGAACCACTTCCGTTATTAACGATTTGCTTAGGTGTTTTATATCCAATAGTCAGGGAAATCAGTATGTTACCCGCTCCTTTACAGCTGCATTTTGCATGGGCTCGTTATGTTTTATCTCGAGGTTATCAAGCGCTTCACATGGATACGAAATACTTTAAGGAATACAACTTGTTGAAGATACTCGAGACATATTAATAGAAGTTTTTTATCTATCATTTAATATTTCATCAATATGTTGTTCGAATTCGGAAAATATTTTGTGCAGAGGCATAAGCGGGTAGTGTGTTTTTTCCCCACTTTGGTTATAAATCGTTAATGTACCTCTGCAGTACTTTACACTACATGTATGTTATTTTATGACAGTTCGCAATCGATAGCAATAATTGATAATATGTTGATTAGGTTGATTAGATTGGTCTTTTTTCACCTACTGGATTGGAGTTATTTGGAAGGTTATAAAGCTACTATTGCTAATTATATTATGGGCGGACGTAAAACAAAGTGATTGGAGAAATTGGCTAATCCAAGCTTATTTTATCATAACTGCGTAACAAATAACGAAGTTGTATGAGGAATACCTTATGATGAGTATCCTCCTTTTTAAAAAAATTTAACCAAAAACAAATAACAAAATAAACACATAGGAAACCAGTAAAAAAACAATAAAACAAACTTCTTAGATAAAATTAAGACCTTCAGACATACAATAAACAAAATATAAAACCCCATAATCGCCAATAATCAATAGACATCAGGATTGAATATGATACCAGTGATCAATGGATATTCATAAGGTTGTATGTTTGAGGATTTCAATTTCGTTTTGTAAAATGTCTATTTTAAGTTTCTTTTCGGTAGTTTTCTCTATGTTTGTTTTCTTGCTTTTATTTGTTTTTGGTCAATTTTTTTTTGTACACACTTATACAAAGTATATATTACTTAAAAAGTAGGTTTATATTACAAAGTATATATTACTTAGAAACTAAATTACGTAATTACTAGACAGATTCAATTCCCAAAGTACTATATGATATAAAACTATATAATGTTTTGTATGGAATTGAATTTAATATTAAATAAGTTTCTTAGTTATTTGATTAAGGAACTTATGTAATTAAAAGGTGGTTTCACTTAAAAGATAATTTTATTCGGATTAATATATCGTAATAACTATGTGTCGGAGAAGGAAGTGGCATAATTACCATCTTGTTTACGAACTTATTAAATATCTTAAGCAAAACTATTTAGGTTAGGTGGTATTGTATTAGCAGCTAGAAAAGACCGACATGTCCTAAGAATAAAAAGACGATAAAGCACTGCAAAACTGAAATGAGCAAAATCAAAATAATAAGCAAATACAACAACCCAAATCAAAATAAAAGATGAATAACGTCTTACAAAATACAGACCCATATCAATGAGATCAACGAAATGGTAAGCTGAGTGCTTTATAAGCGACTACATAAAATAATTAGCTGTGAATATAATTACAACATTCATGCCTCACCGACTATACCTTGTAGACTGTGGAAGTGCCGCACGACTTCTCCCTTGTGGACTAAATTAAATTGACCCAAGAAACGAGTAGCTTAGCTTCCTATCAGTATTGAAAGCCTGCTAAACAATTTGCTAATGTATGATAATGATAAACGATAATGGGCTTAACTTTCACTTTAGTGGCTTGTTTCAGAGATTCTTAAATGAAACTGATTTCATATGATTTAGCAACTTCATACATGGACGTTTTTATCCTAATAAACTTGGATTTTACACTTCCTGAACATAAGAGAAAAAATGCTTGTTGCTCAAATGCTAAACATGCAAAGGCTTTGAACGTGGACTTTTTGCATGTAATTGAGGGAGAATTTTTTCAAAATGACTGTCCGGAAAAAAGCTTGCAAGAAGCCTTTCGAAAATGACGTAGAGAAGACGCCGATTGAGTCGACTATTTTGAAATACTTCGGAAACGTTTGCGATTCCTCTGTTTGTAGTTTCAGCGCCTATAAACAGTCGTAATTCGTCTGGTAAAGCACTCAACATTTGGGCTCGTGCCAACACGCATGTTCTAAATCGTTCACCTTCTGGACGACGTTCACTACTCTGCGCTAGTTTACCATCAGGCCATAATGTATTTCTGCAAATTCAAGTATATAACAGATAAAAATTGCTAAAATCTTGAAGAAAAAATACTCGTACAGTATAAATGAAAATACTACAGTTTCTTTGCAATACTAACATTAACTTTAATTCAAAGCTAAAACAATAATCTTGAGAAGTAAAGTGCGGAGTAGGAACATCTGTACCTGAATGCAGCGAGATATTGAACAACTTGCTGCTTTGACGTTAACCATTGGACAATATCAATAATTTTACGATTCAGCGAAGAACCCATTGTTGCATGAACAAACTGATTTAAGAGAGCTACCAGTCTTCTTCGGAACCAAGCATTTCGAGAACGTACACCAAATACTTCATCAATCAAAAGTACGAGAACTCGTAAAGGTATACTTTCCATCCACTGCTAAAATGGTTCTTTATTGTAATAATTACTATCATTAATTCAAAATACTAATGTACTATTTTGGAAACATTATTTAAATATTATTCAAATAGAAGTAGTAAGGAGGTAACCTAAAACAATCGTAAATCAATATATTAGAAGTTAATGAACCTTCATTTGTACAACAATTACCTGGTCATTATAAATAGCCGCCACACGACTCAAATCATCCTTTTTGTTTGACAAACCGTTTAAACTCTGCAAAAAATCATTTATAATGGGATGAAATACTGCAAAAATAGGAAATTTTGAGTGTGCCAGGGCAATTTCAAATTTCAAATTGGTTAAATTATCTCTTAATTATTTTAAATTCTATAACGAGGTTTTTTATATAGATTAGAAACAAACTGAAGACGTATCAGAGAGCCATTTTACAATTAAACATTAGCAGATACCTGTGTCGGTTGAAAATCGATAATCTGTTTCGCAGCTTTATTAATACCATCACCTACGCGAGTTACTCCATCATAAACTGTATCAGGCATAGCTGTTACAGCATTTCCAAAAGCTCGTACACCACTTTTCAATGGCTCAAATACAGCACTCATAACCTGTTAAAATATTGTTAAGTTGTACTATAAAGAAAATTTTTTGGTTTATTAAAATTTCAATAATAGTACTTTTTTTGGAAAAGCTTCTCTCTCGCCGATATAATCTTTCATGCTGAGAAAATCAAATATGAGTGCTTCTAAATCCGCATTAGCTTCCAGAACTGATGGTTGCAGGATACTCTAAAAATGAAGTGAAATCAACAAAAAATAGGAAAAACAAATGTTTGTGATGGTAATTTTGAATTGAATACGAATTTTCGAAATGAAACTAAATGGGAAAATAAACCATCATGTAACTATTGAGTGCTCTGGTCCTTTTTTCGAGGAAACGCGAATCGAGATTATTGAATGTCTTCTTTCCTGGGAAACATAGATTGCTGAGCTTTGGAAACTAAAAAAAGATTGAAAAAACTATAATGTTAATTAAATAATCAGTTTCTATCAAGTGAAGTACTGTATAGGAAATTTCAGATGTCTATGAACACTCTTTTTTACGCAATCAGATTACTAGATTTTAATGATAAGTTAAGCAAAATATATAGATGAGAGTTAGTGTTACTTGAATCTTGCAGTCATTGATTTATCATAATATATTTTATAAGAAAGCAGAAATCTTCCCTCCCGTTATTTTAACCTAGTTCACAACCGTTGAACAAGAATTTTATGACAGAATTAATATGTTAAATTAAAATAAAGCTATACCTAATTTAAAATGTCAAAAAAAATGTTCTACGTACGCGAGATTGTATAAGTGAATTGAGTGTGTGAAAATCAGAATATCGCCTAAGAACGTTCCAAGTGCTACTCTGGTTTCCAGTTGTATCAATTCGTGAAACGCGTACGTTGTAAAGAGCAAAAGACTGCTTCCCTTGTTGGCCTATACCAAGTGTTTCAACGATAACATGCATCCCTACGTGTGTATGCTTTAGTCCATCGATGTTATTCAGGATCTTAAAGCATGAGATGGCTTTCTGTTCATATAATTTTCCAAACTGTTAGTGATTAATAAATTATTACAATAATGACAATACCGTTGATCTCGACTAAATTCAACTTGTTATACAAATTATTAATATAATTATTTTAATAAACAGCAAAGTTTTGCAGATATCGATCTTCTGATAAATATAATCAAGAAAGAAAACCTTAGCTTCAGAGCCTGTGGGCATTACAAATGACTTAATATTGCTTTCATCGTTATAATGTAAATCCGTTGTTAGACAGTTGATATCCTCACTTAGTCCAAGTTCATTTAACATTTTTATATATATTGAACTTTTTTTGAAAGAATCGTAAAACCGCTCGTCCTACAATACGGTATGAAATCATATGCAATCATTTAAACTTGATAGCTACAAATTCTTCAGACATTCCTCTCTCTGTCATGATTTTAAAACTTGGATAAATTTATAGCTCAATACAAGCTGTCCAATAGTATGGCTTTACACGTTCAAAATGTTAAATTGTTTCAGCGTCATCTAAATCGATAACAATAATTTGGAAGTGAACTACATTACATCTAAAAAATAAATTTCAAAAAAAAAAAAACAACCGTTCGCAAAATATCAACAATCTTTGCTTGCACTTGTTCGAACCACATATCAGGAGGATCGCCGTTTCGAATGCGCATTAATAATTTTTTCACTGTAACATCGTCCAGTGAAACCCGTGTAACTGCCTGAATAAAAGAAGTTTACTATAATAAGCTTTGACTATCCAGAATATTTACAAAATGTTTCCCGATGTGATCTCATCAAAGCAACTAATTCATTGTAACATAATTAGAATTCTGGTACTAAGAGCAAGTATAATGACAATTCAACATAATATTGATTCTGCTAATTAACCAAATCAAAGTTATTCTATAGAAGCGAAACGACTAACCTCCTGCGATAAATATTGCTGATAAAGAAAACTAGCAGCTTCCTTGACTGTTTCATAAACGTCACTTTCAAGAGTTTCACCCACAGCAAGTCCTCGTAGCTGATGCTCCACGGATATTTTAAAACCCTGCAAAGATTTTAACAAACTATCAACACAATTTAAGACAATTTCAACGTTGTTTTCCTGCCTGCTATTAAAACCATAAAACTGCTATTTTTTTTTAAAGGACGAAATTTAAATGATTGTAGATTCATCATCCCTTATATTTAATCTTGTCAAATAACTTACCTCAACAGCCAAATAGCAATCAATTAAAGCCTGTCCTCCAACAGATGCAAGAAAATCAGCAAAATACGTAACTGCCGTGTTATTCGACAATACAACGTGAATTGGTAATTGCACGAGAGATAAATTACCTACCGCCAACTTTCTTGCTGCCTATAATTTAGTTCGGTCATTTTTTTGACATTATTAATCTTGTAAATATCAAACTAAATCTTAAAAATAAAAAAGAAAGAAGACCAGCGCGGACTGCGGATCACAAGTTACTTCAAACTTGAATTATAAGTCAGATCAAAATTAAATCTTTGCCAGTAAAAATACTTTTAGTATGAAAAAAAGGAAAAACCTCTTCTAAACTGTTTTCAACTTCAGCGGCTGCTAAAGCATCCATTCGTCGCTTTATAACATTTATTGCATAATCAATACTGGCTAGCTGTTGCTTCACCAAAAAGCCTGAATTATTGCCTCACCGAATAGAGTAAATTTAAAAAAAATGTACATAACTGTATGCATAAGAGATTAACAACTAATAAATAAAACATTCAGTAAAAAATAAATACAAAATCCGAAAGCCAGTAGCTTCTCTTCCTCTGACCACACCATTTTCAATTGACACGTCAAATTAGGTATTCAAAAGCAGAGACCTTGTTCACCACCGGAATCTTTTGTTCGCAGATGTGCTGCTTCCTCACAGAGTGAATCCAATATTGCATCTAGTGCCTTCCTACTGTCAACAGTTTCCAGTGTTGTAATAAAATCTTCTGGTTTCAAATTTGTTTCACTGAGCTACAAAGAATGAGTGAATGATCTCTTTTAGATCATTTGATGCAATGAAAGAGGAAAAGTATTTGATTTACAAGAAAACTAAAACGGCTTACCAACCAAATTATGCTGTGATTGATGAAATCAGGATCACTAAGCATATCGAAAAGGGGTAACATCATACGTTTAACATATACTTCTCGGAGAAGAAAACGAAATGGTCGAGAACGAAAATCTTCAGCAGGCATTAAAAGATAGAACAGAATATCGGCAACGTCATGAAAATATGCTGCAAAATAGTCTGTTCCACAAAAAGAAAAAAGAAAAATATTTCACCCAATCTCTGAAAAATACAGTAAAAACGTACCATTTTCATAATGTGGACAGGTGGAAACAAGATCTCTGCAATAACATTTCTCCATTTCTAATTCCAAATCAAAAAAAATTGTTTCCAACTCATCCGTTGTGTAATTTTTACCATAATGAAGCTGCGCACGTTCCTGAAATAAAATATGGAAAAGTTTCAAGAATGAATAGCGCCCTAAAGAAAATATATTTGTAGTGATTATGGTATTTTTTCTTAAATGGGCGGAAACGATGTTAAAATAGGCAATATATTAATGAGTAACACAGCTCCAGAAATTTTTATGAATCAAGTAAATTTGGTCTTAAATGATTAAATTATGGCTGTTTCAAGTATTAATATTTTACTCGTGTTCAGAAAATAAATGTTATCAGTATATTAGGACATGGCTGTGAGATGATAAACCATTTAATTTTAGCATTCCACTCAGAACGACTGCAGCTCACCTTAGCTCTCCGAAACAAGCGAAAATGTGAAGCAATATCATCGACAATATGCTGTGTTAAGAGAGGGACAAAATCCACCTTCTGAACACTAAAATGTTAAAGGAAAGAGTTATAAAACCTCACTAAATTTAAAAATACCTTTTTGTTTTCTCTTTCTGAAAAATTCAATAACGCTAAAAAATGTAAAATTATTTTGTGATTATTATTAATTCCCAACTAGATGTTGTAATTACTCATATATATGGTGAAATATCAATTCATTTCAATTACAACACATATGGATAATAGGAAAAATAATAAAAAAAAAATACCACTGAGAAAAAGCTGCAATAGTTCGCCTAGCACTTCGTTTTAGACTTTCTTTAAAATGATGATCCGGCGTTAAATTGCTATACCATGAATCAACGAAATCTCGTATTACATACGACAACATCTTGCAAAAAAATCAAAAATCAATTCTTCAACAAATTTTATTTAAATTTATTTACTTTTTAATACATTGGAAGACTTATAGCATTATATGAAGCTTACAAAATATGCTAAGATCAGTTGTACAAGAATTTGTGTCACTCTCTCACCTGTTCAAGTATAGCATCGATAGCAGCTGAATTCGTCATAGACTGTTTCTGTTCATAACAAGCATTCTCGGAAAATCGCCCGCGATTTGCCACGTATCGTTCGTGTCCAATTGAGAAACGGAATTTCCCGGTGATCTCATTCAATTCATGTAAATCCTTATCCAATACTTCGTGACCATAATTAAAAATGATCATAAACAATCTGGAAGAAATCAAATTTTTACTATAATTATATTTAGTACATAAAGGTAATAAACGACTCGAAAGAAAAATATATGAATGATCATTTATATAATTGTAAATTTTTCAAGAGTAGAATTAAGAAAGAAGTCAGTACCCGAGGATAAGGCCAAGCAAAAGCGACAGGAATATGCACAAGCCGGAAATGCCGAACGATGTGAGGAAGAGCACCGTTCCCAGCAATAAGTAGAATACGGATGACATTGCAATCTGTTTGTTATCTTCACATATCACACCTGCAGTGCATGTGAAAGCTTCTGTCTAATGACTGAAACGATTGTTTTACAATTTAAAGTGAAATAATAAAAGGAACGGAATGGAAAAATAGCATTCGCACTACAGTGACCTATTTAGGCGTAGTAAAATTTCCTTTTTCTTTTTCTTTACAAAAGATTCTAACCTATGCATATATTAATATTAACTTTTAGATATAAGTTCCAATTTTACACGTCCCTCTTCAACTTTCCACGTAATCTGTGCGTGTTTTGATATTATCTATTATTTACAAATTACAAAAAGAGATAGTGAAGGTGAAAGCTTTTTACATTGTGTTTTACACAGCTTTATAAACCTGAATAAAACTGATTGTTTACCTGGGAAAGACTTAAAAAAAAACGGTAAGAAAAGAGAAACATCAACGACGAACTTTGAGCAATTCCAACTGGAGAGAGAACCGTGAAATACTTGATAGGCCCAGCAGGATCCGGTTTTTTGTATTTGTTTTAGTATTGCAGTTTATCTACACAGCCAATTTGTCGAGGAAGAGTGTGGAGAGAGGGAGGAGAGAAGAGGGGAGTATGAAGAAGGAATGCGAAAGGTCATTTTTTTGTCTTCAAAATTTTACCGAAACTTCATGAAACTTATTCTCTGCTTTTAATATTATCTTCTGCCTTTAATATTATTCTCTGCCTTTAATATTACAATACTTTTTGCAGCAAATATTCAAATCTTAATAATTACCATTGAACATGTAAGTGATGGATTAGCGAACAGCTCTGTTATGTCGTAATTCACCGAGACCTACTTAATGTACTTGGAAAGAGGACGGTAAATATATTAGATATGCTTTTACAGTTTCAGAATATGAACTCTAAATTTATCCATCAGACATTGACCTTTTCGGAAACCTTGTAATGGTCATTCAGTTCAATCTATTGTCCTTCTTCTTGGTATCATCTAAATTTTGAAAGCTGAAATGATAAGTGAATAAATTGATTTTTCGTTTATCCATCGCTCTAGTTGTAAGGTTTAATTTAACATTGATATTTACCGCTTGCATTATCAGATCAATCTAAACTTCACAATCACATTTGAATGTTTAAATGTGGTTACTTTAGTAAGAAAAAGTTTTGAGATGAAAATTTGGAAGAATATGATCAGTAAGTGTAATCAATTCACTTCATCCAATTTGTCTTGTATCCAAGCACCAATTTCCACATCAATATGTAAAATCTTGCTTTCAACGAATATTTAACTCCGTAAAATGTTGCTGAGTAAAGTTAAATTACAGATTAACATGTGGAAGGCTACGATAAAGATGTCTTTACTTATTTTTAACCAATTTAACGATAAATTAAAAACATAGCTTACACCAGTTTATGTTTGTTGACCCTTAACCTACTGGGGTAAGCTAATTATACTGCCTGTCTTTTATGTTTCGTTAGATGAAATTATTGATATCGCATCCACCAATCAATTCAGTAAGCATAAATTTACCGATTTGCATGACGTAGATTTAATTCGGAGTGCAGATTTCCTTCAGAGAAATTTGGTACTTTTCGAAGT